TATAACATTGTTATACTCTTTCCAAATTTAATGTATCATATCTACAGAATTCTAATCTACTTATTATTATTCTCCCCATGCCGGGAGGGAGAAGAAATCAAGAAAAGGTTTAACTCTGGTATGTAAAGACATGACATACTATTCTTATGCAGTTGTTTAGATTTTTGCTGCTTTTATTTATTTATTTATTGTTTGTTTGTTTGTTTTGGTATTGAGATACAGAACTCAATGCACACAAGAAAATCCATGTTTGAGTTGAACAAATATGTGGTCCGTTCTTATGCTCTCACCACTTATTCATCAGTCATGTAAATATTCATTTAACTGTAAAGAAATATTTAAAGGAAAAAAGATATGCTGGGAAAATATCGGTTCTGAGAAGAAATATAATTTTATCCCTTGCCTTGCCTCAAGCTTGAGCACTGTAGCAAGCATGCAATCTGCTTGTCTCAGGAACTAGCTATGCTATGCTCTGTCCCAGATCTCATCCCACAGTCTAAAAAGGTAGGCAGGGACCAGATTATAAAAAATTTGGAGGCCATGATATAGGGTGTCTAGTCTTTATTTTAGATCAGTGAGAAACATTTATGTTTCCCACTGATCTGAAGCTAGGCAGAAATTTAGAGTTATTCCAAATGAGAATTTACTTAAATGTTCTAGTTGCAGCAGCATCCAGATAAGGAAAAAATATGCCTAACTTTGGACAGATTCACAAATGCTTTGTGACAAAAACATCTTGTTTGAGAGCCAGTTCTGGCACACATAGTTAGTCACATGCAGAATGGCCATATATACCCACTCCAGTGTCTCTGAACAGCTCTTATCTCAGAAGTGGCCCACATCCTCCCCTTATTTAGTAACTGATGCATAAAGGTTTCCTTAACACATACGGAGCTGTATACATTCAAGATGCACAAAGTTTTTCTGACATATGATTAGGAAGTTATCTCTCATCTTAGAACTAGTTTTCAATTGCCCCACCCTACCCTGTTCTTTTACTTCTTAGGTGGTGCTCAAGGGCACAGGACAAAAAGTTCTAGGGAGAGAACTCAGGGTCTCACACACACTTGACATATGTTCTACTATTCCATCTATCTCCCTGGTCCCTGTAGGTTCTTTGTGCTTCCTGCTTTTGTTATTATAGATTTTTAATTCCGTGTTATCTCTTTGGTTAATTTGTTTTGTTAGTTTAGTCATTAATTTAGGTTTATAATACACATATTTAACTTGTTATGGTATAACTTCAGTTGATATAATATAACTTCACAGAGTATAAGAATCTCCCAACAGAGTACTTTTGTATCTCTCCCCTCCTGGATTTTATCTTCTGCAGTTTGTTTTTTAAACAATGTAAAACATATACAAGATAATTTGCCATTATAATGTTCTTAGGATTCACACTGTTGAGCAGCCATCACCACCCTGCATCTCCATTGCCTTCACAGACTCCCCAACAGGACCTCCATACTCACTAATAACAGCCACACCCCAAGTCCCTGAGAACAGCTACATTGTATTCTTTCTTTGAATTTAAGATGAAGCACTTTAAGTATCTCAAATAAGTAGAATCAAGAAATAATGATCATTTTGTGTCGAGCTTAATTCACTTAGCATAATGTCTCCGGGCTTATCCAAGTTGGAACATCTATGAGAACTTCATTACTTTATAAGGCAGAATCTTGTATATATAGTATGTATCTATCACATTTGGTTTTCTAGTCACCTGTGAATAGACATCTGAGCTATTTCCATCTGTGAAAATTATGAATAATGCTGCTCTTCCTTTCCTGGACTTTTATCATACATTATGCATGTGTTATAATATGTATATGCAAATAATAGCATCCACAGAAGAGTGTTTATTCTTTTTCTCAGCAATTCTCTTTTAAAAATACATAAACAGAAAGACATTATGCACTCATTCACGTTGTTATTCCCAGTGCTTTCTATTCCCTTGTGCAAATCTCTAGCTATGTTTATTTTTCTATCTAAAAGTATCATATTCTTCTTTTGCCTGAAGACTTCCTTTTTATTTTTTTTCTTTTTGGGTCATACCCAGCGGTGCTCAGGGGTTTCTCCTGGCTCTGCACTCAGGAATTATTCCTGGCGGTGTTTGGGGAACCATATGGGATGCTGGGAATCAAACCCCGGTCAGCCGCATGCAAGGCAAATGCCCTACCTGCTGTGCTATCACTCCAGACCCTGAAGATTTCCTTTTTGTTTGCAGTGTAGCTGTGCAGATAATAAAATATTCCAGCTGTTTGTCTGAATATCTAAGTCATTACTTTGAAAGACATTTTTATAGAATATAGAATTCTAGGTCAAAAGATGAAGGTACTGAAAGAAAAAAAGGATGCTGCTCCAGGATCTTTTCACTTACAACAAGATCTTTGCTCTCATGTTTATCTTTGTTTCTTTGTACATAACATGCCTTTATTCTTCTGGTTGCTTTTAATATTTGTTTTGTACTATTTATATTGAGAAAAATTGATTGTGATGGCACTTGTACAGTTTTTCCTCAATTTATTGTAAGTGGCACTCATTGTAAGTTTTTATGTGAATGAGTGTGTGAATGTCTGTGTGTATCTGTGTGTATGTGTATGAGCATGTATAGTGTGTATCTCTGTAAGTGCATGTATGTTAATATGTGTGTGAGTCTGTGTGTCCATATGAATGTGTGGAAGTATGTCTGTGTATGTGTCTATATGTGGATTGTGTGTGTCTATATGTGGATGGGTATGTTCACACTGAAACAAAGGGACAATGATATAACACTGCTGGTTCACAAAGGAAGGAATAAAACAGCTTAAAGCTTTTATTGGTGCAAATGCTCTCCTTTATTATCCAGATCAAGTTGGCATAACAAAACACCACAGAGAGAAGGACTTCAAAAACTTAAATTCACTGTCACAGTGAAGGGCTAGACAGCTCAGGTAGGGCCAGGCAGCTAGAGTCTGGCACTGCATTTTGTCCTTGCCTGTGTACCACCCTCTCCTTCAGTCCTCGCTGTGTGTGTCCCCAACGTCCCTGTGTCCTTTCCTGTTTCCTCATGAGGATTGTCTTCTGTGCTCTCAGTGTGACCTCCTTTTCTTACAAGACACCAGTCCTCACAATGAGGGCCCGGTCCTACCCATCACATTAACTCCTCCCAGGAGCTTTCTGCAAATTAACATCACATATTTGTTTCCTGGAGTCCAGATGCCCATGCTCTTTTACTCTCAAGTGGACAGTGGATTGTCTGGGCTCTTTCCTTTAAGCAGGTGTTGAGTGCAGTGTCATTCCCAGGCCTGATGTTTCCCCTCCTCAGGAATCTAAGTTTCTACTCCTGGCAAAGGAACCACACCACTGGGTCCTGGCCCTGGGTCAGGATAGCCAGGTACAGGAGAAAGTCATTGCTACCAAGTCTTTATCAGGTTACACAAGGCAATCACATTCTCTTCCCTATTTCTCTCCTTTGTAGCCCAGTCCCCAGCCAGCCCAGCCTCCTGGCTTCTCTTTCACATCAGGGCCTCTATAGTACAGGCAGGAGACCACAGGAAATACTGTCCACAGAGACTCCCAAACTCATCTGGGAACATATCCAAACCCTCTATCCTGGTCACATCCCAAAGGATAATATCAAAATGTTTCCTGAGGAGGCCAGACACTGGTGTATTTTGGAATGACTAGGCTTCCAATCCTGGCTTTCTTACTTATATATCTGGGGGTAGGTGGCTCCCAAGTGGTGCTCAGGCAACCCAGGGGCTACTCCCAACAATGCCCAGTGAACCAAGTCAAGTATTCAATACAAGGACCTGATAACAAGGTGCTACTTAGGCTCTGTAGTGGCAGGATAATCTGGGGCTTCCACAGCCACAACCTGCAGCAGGTGGCCTCCAAACTGCTCCTGGTGATAGTCTGGCCCTTGTAGTGCCAGAGATCATTCTGGGAATGGCTACACACAACACATATGCCTTGAACCCTGACCCATCTCTCTACCCCTTCATTATTTTTAGCTGGATGTCCTTGAGCATGTTACCTTGCCTGAGCAGAGCTCGTTTTAGAAGAGTATGGGAACCGGTAAGTGAGTTAGTTAAAGGTTATGAAAAGCCAAGCAAGGTACCTAACAAGGAAGGTATGTGTTCATCACTATTGTTACCAGGGGAACCTATCGAAGTCCCCCTTCAGAGAAAAGTTCTTTACTAACTCGAGAGTTAAAGCAAAAGAATCAGTATACTAACTCCCTAATCTGAAAAGAGGAGTGAGTAAATGTAAATTAAGTACAAGGCATATTTTATTTTACTCAATCTCTACCATAATCCCTTGGTACTGCTATTACTATCATCTTTTTTACAGAAGAATAAACCAAGGCTTAAATAGATTAACTCAGCAGTGGAGTTGGGAATTAAAACTAGGTCTTTTTCGTTCCAAATGCAGGCTCCTCTGAATCATCTCAGCTAGACACCAACCCTTGAACAGCTATGTATGCCTTTGCATTGTTCAATTTTCACAAAACTCCTGCCAAGTCAGTTCAGCCAGACTTCCCCCACCCTGGATATTAGATCATATTCCCCAATCCTTCTCTCCTCCCCGCCCAGAACCTCTCACCCAGGTGGTGTCTGATCATCTTGGCCTGTTTTCAGCAAAAAATCCTGTTAGGTCGGTTTAACCAGTATCCACTACCACCACCCCAACTCCAGTCACCCACCTTGCTTTCTCGGTGATTTTCTATCCACAACCTCTCATCTTTTTCCTTACCTTGTGGTTCTGTTTTTCCTTTCATTATGTACATGTCCACATGTCCACACATACACACGCAAATACACATAGGCACGCACACATATTTTTACACATACACACACAAATACACACACTCACATAAACCCCGCACTCCCACACACTCTTACAACTCTGCATGGTTTCCCCAGGAGCTCTTCACAGCTGGCAATGATACCCTTCTTGGTCAAAAACATAGAAATAATGCCCAATGGTGAGAGGGCATCAGTGCTCACAAGACTCACCACAGTCTTCTAAGGACATGTTGGACTCAGGAGACTCAGACACCAGCCTCTGAACCTGAGCCAGTGTGCTGCAGGCTTCTTCCATCTCCCTCCAAATGAGAAACACATCCTCTCTGACCCCAGCTCCTGTGAAGGGAAAAGCAGGGTGAGCAGCTGCTGTGCAGGCCTGAGGCCACTCAGAAGTCGAGCTGACCTGGCATATCCATACTGCCACATCCTTGGAACATTTTTTGCTGTGTTGCTATCTTTTGTTTTGTGGGAGCACACCTGACAGTGCTCAGGAGCTATTCCGAGCTCTGTGCTCAGTGGTTACTCCTGGCAGTATAAGGGATCACACAGATCCCAGGATCTGGGAACTCCCACATGTCAAGCATGTGCTTCAGCCTGGTAGAACATTTCTAAATATGATACTCCATTTTCCCCACTAATTTCTTTCTAGGAAGTGGGAGCGAAATCCCTAAGAAAGTGCTGTCGTCTCCAAAAATCATGTGTCAATTTTAGGATGTGATTAATCCTTGTGAGTAAATATTTGGAACATTCCAAATATATAAGCCCTTCACAAGTCTTTGGTTCCCTTCAATATAACAAGTTCAGTATTGAGTTTCCTTTCCTGGAACTCTGCTGTTCCAGTTAAGAGTTAGGTTTGGATATATGACAATTTGAAACAATGACATATACCACAATTAATGCATGTCACCTTCAAAACCAACTATTAATAAAAGTCTGTTTCAAGAGGTGAAACAGACATCTTCCCTCACAAAAAGCAGGTTCAAACAGATCAGCAGTTTCAGATGCTGGGGGTTTGAAGGAACAGAAGCAGGAGTGAAAGGGCAGTGACTGCAAATACACAATATAAGGGGATTCTGTGGGGGAATATTCATAGGATCAATGTCAAGATCCTGGTTATGATATTGTCTATAATTCTGTAAGTTTGATACAACAAGTGGAAACTGGGTAAGGGTGCATATGAGTATTTCTGATTACTTGTATTTCTTCTTATAACTTCATGTGAATCTACAATGATTTCCACATGCATCTCAGCCACAGCCTATTCTGCATGCAAAGCTCCTCCTTCACGTGATTTCAAGAGCAATCATAATTGAGAGGTGTGACTCATCTATTTTGGTTTTTTTTTGGGGGGGTTGTTTTTGTTTGGAAGCCATACTGAGTAGCGTTCAGGACTTACTCGTGAACTGAGTGCTAAGGAATCACTCCTGGTGGGCTTGAGAGACCATGTGGGATGGTGGGGGTCAAACCCAGGCTGGGCAAATGCAAGTCAAATGCCCTACCCTTGAACTATTACTCCAGCCAGCCACTCATTTACTTTCAGTGGTGTCTTTGGGCCCAGCTATTAACTTGACTCTTAAAGTCCCTTCTTCAAGATTGCTTCTAAAACAGTTGCACACATAATAATTTGGCAGAGGGGCTGGAGCGATGGCACAGCGGGTAGGATATATGCCTTGCACGCTGCTGACATGGATTAAATTTCCAGCATTCTATATGGTCCCCCAAGCACTGTCAGGAGTAATTACTGAGTGCAAAGTCAGGAGTAACCCCTGTGCATCTCAGGGTGACCCAAAACGGAAAAAAAGAATTTGGCAGAGATATTAAGTTTTAAATTTTTTAATTTTTAAAACTATTATAAACTAGTTTTTAAACTATTGGGCTGGAGCAATAGCACAGCGGTAGGGAATTTGCCTTGCACGCAGCCAACATGGCCGACCCGAGTTCGATTTCTCGGCTCCTCTCGGAGAGCCCGGCAAGCTACCGAGAGTATCTCACCCGCACGGCAGAGCCTGGCAAGCTACCCGTGACGTATTCGATATGACAAACACAGTAACAACAAAATCTCCAATGGAGACGTTACTGGGCCTGCTCGAGCAAATCGATGATCAACGGGAGGGCCTTTTAAACTATTAAAACTCTAGTTCTTTTTCTTTTTTCTTTTTTATTGAATCACCATGACCTACAGTTACAAAACTTTCATGTTTTACTTTCAGTCATACAATTATCAAACACCCATCCCTCCACCAGTATACATTTTCCTCCTCCAATGTCCCCAGTATCCCTCCCCCCTGCACCCTGCATCTATGGCAGACAATTGCCCCTTACTCTCTCTCTACTTATGAATATTATGGTTTGCAATACAGATTACAGATAATGAGAGGCCATCATGTTTGGTCTTGAGTCACTTTCAGCAAAAATCTACCATCCCGAGTGATCCCTTCAACCATCATTGACTTAGTGATCCCTTCTCTATTCCAGCTGCCTTCTCCCCCAGCTCATAAGGCAGGCTTCCAACCATGGTGTAATCTTCCTGATCTTTGTCTCCAATGTCCTTGAGTGTTAGTCTCATAATATGGTATTTTATATTCCACAAATGAGTGCAGTCATTCTGTCTATCCCTCTCTTTCTGACTTATTTCACTCAGCATGATACTCTCCATGACCATCCACTTATAAGCAAATTTCATGACTTCATCTTTCCTAACAGCTGCATAGTATTGCACTATGTAGATGTACCAAAGTTTCTTTAGCCAGTCATCTGTTTTCAGGCACTCAGGTTGTTTCCAGATTCTGGCTATTTGAACAATGCTGCAATAAACATACAGGTGCAGATGTCATTTCTACTTTGCTTTTTTGCACCCTTGGGATATATTCCCAGAAGTGGTATTGCTGGGTCAAATGGGAGCTCAATTTCTAGTTTTTTGAGAAATATCCCTCTTGTTTTCCAAAAAGGCTGAACCAGTCGGCATTCCCACCAACAATGAAGGAGAGTCTCTTTCTCTCCACATCCATGCCAATACAGAGTTGCTTTTGGATGTGTATTAGGATTTTTGCTGTGAGATGATATCTCATCATTGTTTTGATCTGCATCTCCCTGATGATTAGTGATGAAGAGCATTATTTCATGTGTCTTTTGACTGTTTGAATTTCTTCTTTGAGAAAGTTTCTATTCATTTCATCATCCTATTTTCTGGTGGGATTAGTTGTTTTCTTCTTGTAGAGTTAAATCACTTCCTTGTAATCCTTGATACTAACCCCTCATCAGGAGAGTATTGGGTGAACATCCTTTCCCATTCCGTAGGGTGTCTATATATACTGGTCGATATTTCTTTTGAAGTGCAGAAGCTTCTTAGTTTAAGATAGTCCCATTTGTTTATCTCTGCTTCCACTTGCTTGGTCAGTGGCGTTTCATCTTTGAAGATACCTTTAGCTTTAATGTTGTGGAGGGTTTTGCCAATCTTGTCTTCAATGTACCTTATGTATTCTGGTTTGATGTTGAGATCTTTAATCCATCTTGATCTGACTTTTGTGCATGATGTTAGGTAGAAGTCTGAGCCCATTTTTTGGCATGTAGCTGTCCTGTTGTGCCAGCACCATTTTTTAAACAGGCTTTGCTTGCTCCACTTTATATTTATTGTTCCCTTACCAAAGATCAGATGATAATATATTTGAGAGTATGTGTAAGGATATTCAACCCTATTCCACTGGTCTGCAGATCTGCCTTTGTTATCAACAAAATAACATGTTGTTTTAATTATTACCACTTTGTAGTACAGTTTGAAGTTGGGGAAGGTGATACCTCCCATCTCCCCCACACACCCCAAGAATTGCTTTATTTTTTTTTCATTTGATTTAATCTTGCAAAAATAATTATTGTTTTTATTATGTTCATTGTGATATCTATTTTTTTTCTTTTTTTTATTAGTGAAAAACCATGAGGTACAGTTATAGGCTTACAAATTTTGTGCTTGGGTTTCAGTTATACAATGATCAAATGCCCATCCCTCCACCAGTGCCCGTCATCCATCCCCACGGGTCCCAGCATCCCCCCCCCAACCCTCATCCCCCACCCGGTCCCATCCTGCCTCTGTGGCAGGGTATTCCCCCTTGTTCTCTCTCTCTTCTTTTGGGTACTGTGTTTTGCAAGAGAGGCTTTGAGTGGCAATCATGTTTGGTCTATCGACTACTTTTAGCATGCTTCTCCCACCCTGGGAGGGCCCTCACAACACCCTTCATTTGGTACTCTCTTCTCTATCTGAGCTTCCTTTTCACCTAGAGCCTGTGGCTGGCCTTCCATTCATGGAGCAAAATTCCTGGTACTAATCTCAGCCATTCCTGGGTGTTAATCTCCCTTTTTGTTGCTTTATGTTCCCCAGATGAATGCAATCTTTTTATGTCTATTCCTCTCTTTCTGACTCATTTCGCTTAACATGATACTTTCCATGTAGTACCACTTGTATGTAAATTTCATAACTTCATCTTTTCTAACAGCTACATAGTACTCCATTGTGTAGATGTACCAAAGTTTCTTTAACCAGTCATCTGTTCTCGGGCACTCAGGTTTTTTCCAGATTCTGGCTATTGTAAAGAGTGCTGCAATGAACAAACAATTGCAGATGTCACTTCAACTATACCTTTTTGCCTCTCTGGGATATATTCCCAGGAGTGCTATAGCTGGGTCAAATGGCAGATCAAATTCTAATTTTTTGAGAGTCGTCCATACTGTTTTCCAAAAGGGTTGGACCAGCCGGCATTCCCACCAGCAGTGAAGGAGGGTTCTTTTATCGCCACATCCGCGCCAGCACAGGTTGCTTTTGTTCTTGTGGATGTGGGCCAGTCTCTGTGGTGTGAAATGATATCTCATTGTGGTTTTGATCTGCATCTCTCTGATGATTAGTGATGTAGAGCATTTTCTCATGTGCCTTTTTGCCATTCGAATTTCTTCTTTGCGAAAGTTTCTGTTCATTTCCTCACCCCATTTTTTGATGGGGTTGGGTGATTTCTTCTTGTGGAGTTTAACCAGTACCTTGTATATCCTTGATATCAACCCCTTGTTGGATGTGTACTTGGTGAATATCCTTTCCCATTCTGTAGGCTGTCTTTGTATTTTGGTCAATGTTTCTTTTGAGGTGCAGAAGCTTCTTAGTTTAAGATAGTCCCATTTGTCTATCTCTGTTTTCACTTGCTCGGCCAGTGGCATGACATCTTTGAAGATACCATTAGCTTCAATATATGGAGAGTTTTGCCGACTTTGTCTTCAATAAACATTATGGATTCTGGTCTGATGTTGAGGTCATAAATCCATTTTGATCTTACTTTTGTGCATGGTGTTAGGCAGAG